GGAGACTGGCGAAGGACGAGGTGACGATGCGCATCGGGAATGGTTCCAAGGTCGATGTGATCGCCGTCGGCACGCTACCTCTACATTTACCTATGGGATTAGTTTTGAACCTCAATAATTGTTATTTAGTGCCAAGTTTGAGCATGAACATTGTATCAGGATCTCGTTTAATTCGAGATGGCTACTCATTTAAATCCGAGAATAATGGTTGTTCTATTTATATGAGAGATATATTTTATGGTCATGCTCCGATGGTGAATGGTTTATTCTTAATGAATCTCGAGCGTAATGCTACACATGTTCATAGTGTGAGTACCAAAAGATGTAAGATTGATAATGATAGTCCCACATACTTGTGGCACTGCCGCCTTGGTCACATAGGTGTCAAACGCATGAAGAAGCTCCATGCTGATGGACTTTTTAGAGTCTCTTGATTACGAATCATTTGACACGTGCGAACCATGCCTCATGGGTAAAATGACCAAGACTCTGTTCTCAGGAACAATGGAGCGAGCAACCAACTTATTGGAAATCATACATACTGATGTGTGCGGTCCAATGAGTGTTGAGGCTCGCGGTGGCTATCGTTATGTTCTCACCCTCACTGATGACTTGAGTAGATATGGGTATGTCTACTTAACGAAACACAAGTCTGAGACCTTTGAAAAGTTCAAGGAATTTCAGAGTGAGGTTGAGAATCAACGTGACAGAAAAATCAAGTTCCTGCGATCAGATCGTGGAGGAGAATACTTGAGTCATGAGTTTGGCACACACTTAAGAAAATGTGGAATAGTTTCACAGCTCACGCCGCCTGGAACACCTCAGCGTAATGGTGTGTCTGAACGTCGTAATCGCACTCTATTAGATATGGTGCGATCTATGATGTCTCTTGCCGATTTACCGCTATCTTTTTGGGGGTATGCTTTAGAGACTGCCGCATTCACTTTAAATAGGGCTCCATCGAAATCCGTTGAGACGACACCGTATGAATTATGGTTTGGGAAAAAACATAAGCTGTCATTTCTAAAAGTTTGGGGATGCGATGCTTATGTCAAGAAACTTCAACCTGAAAAGCTCGAACCCAAGTCGGGAAAATGCGTCTTCATAGGATACCCTAAAGAAACTATTGGGTATACCTTCTACCTCAGATCCGAAGGCAAGATCTTTGTTGCCAAGAATGGATCCTTTCTAGAGAAGGAGTTTCTCTCGAAAGAAGTAAGTAGGAGGAAAGTAGAACTTGATGAAGTATTACCTCTTGAACCGGAAAATGGCGAAACTCAAGAAAATGTTCCTGAGGTGCCTGCACCGACTAGAGAGGAAGTTAATGATGATAATCAAGATACTTCTTATCAAGCTCCTACTGAAATTCGTAGGTCCACATGGACATGTTCCGCACCAGAGTGGTACGGTAACCCTGTCTTGGAAATCATGTTGTTAGACAACGGTGAACCTTCGAACTATGAAGAAGCGATGGCGGGCCCGGATTCCGACAAATGGCTGGAAGCCATGAAATCTGAGATAGGATCCATGTATGAAAACGAAGTATGGACTTTGAATGACTTGCCCGTAGAGCGGCGAGCCATAGAAAATAAATGGATCTTTAAGAAGAAGATAGACGTGGATGGTAATGTGACCATCTATAAAGCTCGGCTTGTCGCTAAGGGTTATCGACAAGTTCAAGGGGTTGACTACGATGAGACTTTCTCACCAGTAGCGAAGCTAAAGTCCGTCCGAATCATGTTAGCAATTGCCGCATTCTATGATTATGAAATATGGCAAATGGACGTCAAAACGGCATTCCTTAATGGTTTCCTTAAGGAAGAATTGTATATGATGCAGCCGGAAGGTTTTGTCGATCCTAAGAATGCTGACAAGGTGTGCAAGCTCCAACGCTCGATTTATGGGCTGGTGCAAGCATCTCGGAGTTGGAACATTCACTTTGATGAGATGATCAAAGCGTTTGGGTTTACGCAGACTTATGGAGAAGCCTGCGTTTATAAGAAAGTGAGTGGGAGCTCTGTAGCATTTCTCATACTATATGTAGATGACATATTTTTGATGGGAAATGATATAGAGCTTTTGGACAGCATTAAGGCCTACTTGAATAAGAGTTTTTCAATGAAGGACCTTGGAGAAGCTGCATATGTATTAGGCATCAAGATCTATAGAGATAGATCAAGACGCCTCATAGGTCTTTCACAAAGTACATACCCTGATAAGATATTGAAGAAATTCAATATGGATCAGTCTAAGAAGGGGTTCTTGCCTGTGTTACAAGGTGTGAAATTGAGCTCAGCTCAATGTCCAACCACGGCAGAAGATATAGAAGAGATGAGTGTCATCCCCTATGCCTCAGCCATAGGTTCTATTATGTATGCCATGCTGTGTACCAGACCTGATGTAAACCTTGCCGTAAGTTTGGTAGGAAGGTACCAAAGTAATCCCGGCAAGGAACACTGGACAGCGGTCAAGAATATCCTGAAGTACCTGAAAAGGACTAAGGAAATGTTTCTCATTTATGGAGGTGACGAAGAGCTCGTCGTAAAGGGTTACGTCGATGCTAGCTTCGACACAGATCTGGATGACTCAAAGTCACAAACCGGATACGTGTATATTTTGAATGGTGGGGCAGTAAGCTGGTGCAGTTGCAAGCAGAGCGTCGTGGCGGGATCTACATGTGAAGCGGAGTACATGGCAGCCTCGGAGGCAGCGCATGAAGCAATTTGGGTGAAGGAGTTCATCACCGACCTAGGAGTCATACCCAATACGTCGGGGCCAATCAAACTCTTCTGTGACAACACTGGAGCTATTGCACTTGCCAGGGAGCCCAGGTTTCACAAGAAGACCAGGCACATCAAGCGTCGCTTCAACTCCATTCGTGAAAATGTTCAAGATGGAGACATAGATATTTGTAAAGTACATACGGACCTGAATGTAGCAGATCCATTGACTAAACCACTCCCTAGAGCAAAACATGATCAACAACAGAATTCCATGGGTGTTTGATTCATCACAATGTAACTAGATTATTGACTCTAGTGCAAGTGGGAGACTGTTGGAAATATGCCCTAGAGGCAATAATAAAAGCATTATTATTATATTTCCTTGTTCATGATAATTGTCTTTATTCATACCATAATTGTTTTATCCGGAAATCGTAATACATGTGTGAATAATAGACACCAACATGTCCCTAGTAAGCCTCTAGTTGACTAGCTCGTTGATCAACAGATAGTCATGGTTTCCTGACTATGGACATTGGATGTCATTGATAACGAGATCACATCATTAGGAGAATGATGTGATGGACAAGACCCAATCCTAAACATAGCATAAGATCGTATAGTTCGTTTGCTAGAGTTTTTTCAATGTTAAGTATCTTTTCCTTAGACCATGAGATCGTGTAACTCCCGGATACCGTAGGAGTGCTTTGGGTGTACCAAACGTCACAACGTAACTGGGTGACTATAAAGGTATACTACGGGTATCTCCGAAAGTGTCTGTTGGGTTGACATGGATCAAGACTGGGATTTGTCACTCCGTATGACAGAGAGGTATCACTGGGCCCACTCGGTAATACATCATCATTATGAGCTCAAAGTGACCAAGTGTCTGGTCACGAGATCATGCATTACGGTACGAGTAAAGTGACTTGCCGGTAATGAGATTGAACAAGGTATTGGGATACCGACGATCGAATCTCGGGCAAGTAGCATACCGATTGATAAAGGGAATTGTATACGGGGTTGCTTGAATCCTCGACATCATGGTTCATCCGATGAGATCATCGAGGAGCATGTGGGAGCCAACATGGGTATCCAGATCCCGCTGTTGGTTATTGACCAGAGAACGATCTCGGTCATGTCTACATGTCTCCCGAACCCGTAGGGTCTACACACTTAAGGTTCGGTGATGCTAGGGTTGTAGGGATATGTATATGCAGTAACCCGAATGTTGTTCGGAGTCCCGGATGAGATCCCGGACGTCACGAGGAGTTCCGAAATGGTCCGAAGGTAAAGAATTATATATAGGAAGTGCTATTTCGGCCATCAGGATAAGTTTCGGGGTCACCGGTATTGTACCGGGACCACCGGAAGGGTCCCGGGGGTCCACCGGGTGGGGCCACCTGCCCCGGGGGGCCACATGGGCTGTAGGGGGTGCGCCTTGGCCTATATGGGCCAAGGGCACCAGCCCCAAGAGGCCCATGCGCCTAGAGATAAGGAAGGGAAGAGTCCCGAAGGGGGAAGGCACCTCCTAGGTGCCTTGGGGAGGAGGGATTCCTCCCTTGGCCGCCGCCCCCCTAGGAGATTGGATCTCCTAGGGCCGGCGCCCCCCCCCCTAGGCTCCCTATATATAGTGGGGAAGGAGGGCCTCTCAATCCACGTCTTTGGTGCCTCCCTTTCCCTCTCCAACACCTCCTCCTCCTCCATAGAGCTTGGCGAAGCCCTGACGGAGTACTGCAGCTCCACCACCACCACGTCGTCGTGCTGCTGCTGGAGCCATCTTCCTCAACCTCTCCTTCCCCCTTGCTGGATCAAGAAGGAGGAGACGTCACACTGACCGTACGTGTGTTGAACGCGGAGGTGCCGTCTGTTCGGCGCTAGGATCTCCGGTGATTTGGATCACGTCGAGTACGCCTTCCTCATCCCCGTTCTTTGAACGCTTCCGCGCGTGATCTACAAAGGTATGTAGATGCAATCCGATCATTCGTTGCTAGATGAACTCCTAGATGGATCTTAGTGAAACCGTAGGAAAATTTTTGTTTTCTGCAAAACGTACTTGTTCAGTCGCGCTGTAACCCTAGCGCCGCCAAACCAGGCTGCACCGCACCCCGTCGCCGGCCGGCCGGCCGCCCATCATCCCCGCCGCACCTCTCCGCCGATGCCCACCCCGACGCCAGCAACGCCCTGCAGGTAGCCCTCCTCGCCCGAGCTCTTCTTCTTCGCCGGAGCTCACCCAGTTTGGTGATTGTCTCGCTCGATTTGCAGTTCCGCCGCCCCATGGCCATGGAGGAGGAGGAGATATCTGGGAAGGAGTTGTTGAGGCTGGACAACTCTCTTGCGGAGGAGGAGGATGCGGCGGTGGCCAGTCGACTCACCGACGACCTCATCGTGGAGATCCTGTCCCGGCTCCCCTTCCGGTCCGTCTGCCGTTTCAAGTGCGTCTCTAAGGCCTGGCGCGACCTCATCGCCCACCCCGCCCACCGCAAGAAGCTGCCTCAGACCCTCGCCGGCGTCCTCTACACCACCATCACCCGTGCCGACGGCGAACGCTACCACCTGGCCGGCCTCTCGGCCGAGGCCGAGGGTCTTGATCTCGACACTTCACTCACGTTCCTGCCAGATACGGAGTACAGGTACTTCGGGCTGGAGCGCGCCTTTAATGGCCTCCTCCTCTGCTCCTACAGACCAGACGCCGAAACAGTCCGTTTAGTCGTCTGCAATCCCGCCACCCGGAGGTGGACGGAGCTGCCCCCTCGCCTGCAGCCGCGGCCAAACACACGAAAATATATAATAGAGCATCTGCACCCGGGCCCTCTTTATCTAGCCATCCATTTTCTGCATTGTGATTCATGCAAATACATTTCTCTTTTTTGCTTTTCTCACATAAAACATGTTTTGAAGTTCAAACCTTTACAGGCTGGCAAAGATTTCTAGCTAGAATCTAGGATAAATCTTTCAGAATTTTTTGTAAAATATAAATATACAAAAAATGATTTTTAAAATTTAAAAGTTATTTTTGTAAATTTATGTTTTATAAAAAATTCTGAAAGATTTATCCTAGATTCTAGTTAGAAAGTTTTGCCACGCTGCGAAGGTTTGAACTTCAAAATATGTTTTATGTGAGAGAAACAAAAAAGAGAAAATTATATACAAAAAGTTAGTTGTGTTGCACAGATCTTAAAGCAATATTGAACGGGCAGGATAGCAGGGCCGGGGTGCAAGTGCTCTAAAAATCCACGTCCGCCAAACACATGCCACACGGAGCTCCATCTGGCTTTCGATCCAGCAGTCCCGTCCCATTTCCACGTTTTTGATTTCGAGCGCAATGTCAACCGGAGCGGAATCACAGGAGCGAGCATCTACTCGTCGAGAACCGGAGCCTGGAGCCTGGAGCCAGAGGGATGCTGCTGGATTGGTTGACGAAGTTTATCTGACCCGTCACAATGTCATGGTTGGCGGTATGCTGCACGTTGTCGGCAACCTGTCGGTGGTTGCCGACAGCAACGATTGGTATGACAAGACTGTGCTGGTGGCTGTGGACATGGAGGGCAAGGTGTGGAAGACCATCTCCGTGCCACGCGGCCAGAGCTATGGGACAGTTGGGTGGTCACAGGGGTGCCTGCACTATGCTGCTATATCTCCAGCTCCTCTCACCGTCGGGGATGACGACGATGATGGTTCACTCAACATGGCTGAAGAGGTAGCGATATGGCGCCTTGAGAATTATGACACCCAGCAATGGGCCCTGAAGCACAGTTTCAGGATCGATAATGTGCTGGACCTAGCTAAGCTGGGGTACAAGCTGGTTGGGTTCCATCCCGATCGTGACACCTTCTTTTTGGTCAGCAGTGGTCTTTATGGCGGAGTTGCGCCTTCATTGGTGTCGTGGGACATGCGCCGCCGCCAAATTGGTGATTTCATTGACCTCGAGGAAGGCAGTGGGGGGCCATATCTGCCTTATGTTCCTCTCTTCTCATCAGAGCCACTAGCAGATGCAGGTGGGCACTAATTCAGTTCGACTCATGCTTGGGCTTGCTCCCATCAATGGAATAATCATGTATGTGTACACCTGCACTTCTTAATCTTTTTGAATTGTGTTAGTCAGTTTGTTCTATGGGGCTAAATTATACTACTGTTATCCAGCTTTCTTGGCCATGATATGCCATGATTACGGTTGTCCTGAATCCTAGTATTAGTGACTGTTAATTGTGAACTTCGTTTTGTTCCTTCTTAGTTATTATATGTTTGCTGATGCTCATGAGTTCAGTCTTGTTTAGTTGAATAATCCGGTCTTATGCAGTTGACGAGGTCATGAATTAAGTGCATATAATGCAAACTTTGCTGAGAAGTTTTCTTGCTTTGGTGCATATGTGCATTTGGTTTGTTTCACTAATTCATAAGGTGATAAACTAACGGTTACCGTGTAGGGCTGTTCTTCAAGTATAGTGGTATACAAGATGCTGGGATAGTCCTTTTTGCGAGCCGAATTTTATCATATCACTTTAAACTTTCAGCAGAAATATTCGTAAGAAATTTTGTACAGGTTGAAGCTGACATATATTGGGAAGATTGCCCTCCAGTTAACACGGACAGAGTAAAACATAGCATAATTTAACCATGACAATTTAACATGTTCCCCTTTTTTGAACTGCCTGAAGGTCCAAGTAAGAAGATGTTTTTTTTAGAAAAAGGATGTTATGTCAAGAGAAAGAGGATGTTAAAAAGTACAATCTAGTGAAATCAAAGATGTTTGTAAACCTAGGGATATGGGGGTCTTGGGATAGTGGATTTAAATGTAATGGATATTTGTTTACTATGTAAATGGATCTGGAAGCAGCCCATAGTTAGAAATAAGTATATTGATAAATCTATTTTAGGAGCTTGTAAAGCTAAGGCTGGTCAATCTCAATTTCGGCTGGGCATTCTGAAAGTTAAACCTATTTCTTTCAGTAATATAGAAAAATAATTGGTAATGGTAACAGAACAAGGTTATGCCAAATGTCAATTTCTCTGTTGAAAAAGCATTGCGTGAGAATGTGAGTCTCATTAGATTTAGAAGGAATCTGTTGGGATAGACTGCTGTCATGTGGGCTGAGTTTAAAGCTTTATGTCCAGGTATCCAATTGACAGAAATTGAGGATAAATGTTTTTGGACTTTAAGTAAATCTGTCAAGTTTACTGTAAGGTCTCTGTACTCTAATTTGAAAACTGAGCATGTATTGTGGCCTCACAGCAAGATGTGGGAAGCTAGAATTCCTCTAATAATTGAAGTGTTTATTTGGCCTTTGCTCAAAAAAAGTATCTTGACTAGATTAGGAGGAGGAATTGGAAAGGCAAGACACTAGATGTAGCTTCTGTTATTTTGAGGAAAACGTAGATCGCTTGTTCTGTAAATGTGTAGTTGCTAAATTCATGTGTGTGTGTGTGTGGGTGGGTTGGGGGCGCGGGTGGACCATCAAATGTAATACGTTTAAATGGTATACCTAGTGGAGTAGAAGATTTAGTAGCTTGATTTCCTAGAAAAATAAAGAAGGTGGTCGCTGTGCGTGTATCCCCAATTTTTTGTACATTATGGAAAGCCAGAAACGCAACTAGCTTTAATCATGTTTACTTGCGTGATCATAGTGTGATTGTCTAACAAACTTCTCATTGGCTATCATATTGGTCTAATTTGCAGAGAAACGAAGGGCGTCGGGTACTTCAAACCGTGGTGTCGAGCTCACTTTGGTGGTTGTGGATTTCTTCCATGCAGGCAAGGGATGGGCTCTTATAATCCTATGGCTCGCAACATGATTGGAGTGGGATGATGCTATACGAGATACGCTTGATACATTGTCATTGCCTTTATCTGGTCGATTACCCTTTATATGGATGAGGGGGTCATGGATCGATTACCCTTTAATTCTGGTTATCTCGTTTTGAGCTGGTGAGCAGTGTCGCATTATGGGCGCTTCCATGGGTGTCTTATTTCTTTGTGCTTCTGGATTGATATATGCAATCTTGCTGGCTTACAGTTTTTATCAGTTTTGTTTCAATTGAATGAAATCGGCCGGCAACAGGATCGGAGTGCGATGCTGCTGCACGAGTGTGATTTTTCTTGGAGTCTTGTTATCTCGTTTTTGAGCTGGTGAGCGTCGTGCTTGCCTGGGTGACCTATTTCTTTGTTGTTCTGGATTGATGCATGCATTCTTGTGGCCTGACAGTTGTTTTATCGGTTCAGTTTTAATGGAATGAAATTGGGGGCGAAAGCTCCTCCATGCGGGAAAAAAATCTTCACCATTAACAAGAAATGTATAGGTTAAGGTTGGGATTGAATTTTGGACAACAAGAAAAAAGAGACAGCTCATATTCAAACATCTGTTAAGTTCCCTTGGCCAAAGAACAAAATTCTGGCAATGCAACCATTACTGATTTTTCCAGAAGTTTCGTATAAAAGTTCATAAGAAAAACTACCACAGTTACGCTCATGCTGTTTATGTTCATGTTTTTTTTCATATAAGAAGAAACTCCAAAAAGGAAGAACAATTTTTAACATGGGCACAATACTCGTCAGTCCCTGTCAAAATTTACAAACATCCAAAAGACATGTCATCTAGAAATCTCACAAGGATTTTGCATATAACTATTACACGTATAATTTTTGCAAGGAAATGGCAAGGTTGCTCCTGATTAAAATTTGAAAAACACTTGATCCATCTAGAAATATAAAAGGTTGCTCACAACTTTGAACTTTCTACATATGAAAGGACATTGTTTCGAACATGGGGAATCTTCTCTATATTCACAATGCAGAATGCTAACAAAAGAAATGGCACAAAATGATCAATGTACAGGATCATACAAACGACTATCGTAAAGCCAAGTTCCGCCTGATCCTAGAAACTTATCACTGAAAATGACTAACCTATAGATAAACTGCTACAGAGAATCACAGGTCAAGCTGCTCTAGCTTCCAGTGTGTGCTGGCTTATTATGTACAATTGCCAAGTGTTTGTTAGGATTTACTCAGTATCAGACCTTTGCAACTCAGACACTATATCGACACATCTTGTTAGCACTTAGCCGGTAACAGAACAACTTCAGGTCGACTTGTAGGCCCAGCTATGCTCCTTGAGGTAGGCTTGAACTGCTTCCTTGATGGCAAGATTCGGAACCATGTCAGGCCTGTTGAACACTGAAGATACATATTCAGTTAACCGTAGCCCATCTAGCAAATACCGGTTCAGTTATCGGACGGTTCTGGTAGCTCTTCAAGTTACTTTCATCGCTAGCCGTTAGATCCAGTTACTGTTACCGTTCCGACAAGTGACTGTCGAGCGTAGTAACTAGCTCACCTATAAAGCGGCCGGGTTGTGGCTTAGCTGCTATGATTTTTTTCCAAATTCGCCTGTTGGCTGAAACCAAAACAGATACGGCGACGCCGATAGGTCAATACAACACCCAGATCGGGATATCTTTCTTCGTGAATTCTCGCTGATTCCTTCTCCTATACCTAAAATCATAGCTGGGTCCTGACAAACCAGCTGATGCTCCTTCAAGGGTTCCCGCGTCACTGGATCGAAATTGCCCACCTAAAGAAAAGGCTAGTATGAGTTATTACAACATTGTGCTGCAAAGTAAAATTGCTGCCCATCAAACTGAATCATACGTACCACACATATTTAGGCCATGTTTAAATTTCACTATTAGCACATGACAAACCATACCAGTCAAATATGTAGGCCATGTTTAAATCACAGATCGTATCTATCCCAGTCAAATAATGCACTAGTTCAGTTTAGCAAAAAAGCTCTGTGTTGTTTCATTTAATAACAGTTCTTTCAACTATGATTTGAAGAAGGGATTCTTTCAGCTATGCATAATTATATGGAATCACCTAAACCTATGGCATCGTAGAATTAGGGAATCAATAGTTCAGTGGAATATTCCTGAAAGAAATTTCAGTGGAAGGGTACTATCAAACAACAGTACATACAAGATGAATAAAATTGAAGAGTTTTCTATATACAGATGCCAGATTAGGAAGATAAATAAAAACCAAGGTTTTTCTATAAAGAGATGTCAGATTAGGAATAGGGCACACCTTGCGGAGATGCTCAAGTGGTATGGCCCTCTCATATGTTACACCACTGGGTGTGATAACTGGATCTCTAAAAATCTCAAAAGTTATGACAGCAAAGGTAGTCGGGCACCTATGTATTTAGAGTGGGAACAACTTAAGAACGCAGAGGAGAGAAAACAACACCAAACAAAAGAAATTTGGTTATAACACAAGATATCATCTGTGCTTTTACATCTCCTGGAGTATCAGCAAGTATAGCATTTGTGAAGACTTCAGATAACAATTTGCATTGCTCTGGATACTCATCGGTTGTCCCCTCGGAGTCTTCTGAAAAAGAGTACCACTAAGAAAGTGATGATCCTGCAGAGCATTTTCGCAAGCTTCCCTACGATGTTCATGTTACAGCAGAGTTCAAACAAAAAAAAATCAGTATCTTGAATGTAAGGCATCAGGGTGAATGTTCAAGTTTTGCCGAATTGACCCTCAACATTAAATATACAGACTTGGCTTTGATCTGCAGCACAATGATGCCAATTATATCAAGGTAATTTCAACACACAATGTACCTAAACTTTGCATCTTCCAAACTCGCTGAGTGGAGTGCTTTTTCCAGTGTTGGTACTTGGCCTTGGCAAGAACCTGCCAAATGTCCTCCGCCATTTTGTCCCTTGAATTTGAAGACTTCAAGAGATCCAAAGCCTGTTCCCCATCAGTATGTCAAGTCAAAATAACCATCAAAAGTGAGACAACCAGCTGAGTTCACTATTCAACTTTAGCTAAATTGCCAATTAAATCCATAGGTATGTTGGAATTCTCCCATAGGATCGATCATATCAAATCAGGACGAACACACGCACACGAAAACTTTGACCAAGGGCACGTATCGTGCCCCTTTTTTTTATTCCTTTTTCTTCTCACAGTTATCTCTTACAGCGTATATGGCCACG